AGCCAACTATGTTTCTGAGTCTTAGATTAAAACGTTGCTGAACATGCTGGACCATTCATCATTTATGGAGCGTAGAAACCCAACGCACCGTATTATGTGGTAAAGACGTCATGCCCAAGAACTACTTGGTTAACCATTGTAGACTTATTCTGCATCTACTAAGTTACTGGCGAGAGAAAGGTCCTTCCTGGCTTCTGTTATCCTTTTCAGTAGAGATGCAGAGGTTTGGTATGTGAGGCATGCACTCTGCACACTGAGCTCTGGTTCCGCCATGTGCTCCGATGAGGATATATGAATAATAAATCATAACAACAACAAGGCGGTGTGAGGTTTTCCGGCAGGATCCCCCAAAAGGAGGGGCAAGGAGGAGAAAACGGAGCACCGCTGTTCTCACATCTTCCACACTATTTCCCATATCTTTAGGCCTGCAAAAGAAATGTGGATGAGATAGGGAAGCCTTGCAATTCATCCACCAAGGACTGAGCTCAGAGGATCAGAGGGGAAATCCCTGATTTTTGCTGTTTTTGAGCAATATGGTTGCCCAGCGTCCTGCTCCTTGCATAAAAAGACATCTTTCTCATTCCTCTTTTCCATTGACAGTTTTTTTTTCATGTCAGGAGCGACCTGAGAAACTGCAAGTTGCTTCTGGTGTAAGAGAATTGTTGTCTGCAAGGATGTTGCCCAGGGGATGCCCAGATGTTTGATGTTTTACCCTCCTTGTGGGAGGCTTCTCTCATGTCCCCACATGGGGAGCTGGAGCTGACAGAAGGAGCTCATATGTGCTCTTCCAGGAGTCGAACCTCCGACCTATCGATCTTCACTCCTGCCAGCACAAGGGTTTAACCCATTGTGCCACCAAGGGATCCCATGGACAGTTGAAACTAACATTTCTCCTGGTTCTGTTTCTGAAATCATAGCACAACTCTTATATCTGTGGGATCCTTGATCTACATTTGACAAAATATGTCCTCTCTGGTCATTTCCAAAATCTGCCAGCATAGCACTGTATGACATTCTGTGAACTGTGCTCCAAAAAAAGATGCAAATATGGATGCTTTCCATCAGAGACATAAATCCAAATGAGATCTAGCACAACAGAGAAATCTCCAACTAATCTCCATTCATTCTGGCGCATAATCAATCATCTCCATTGTGGTCTGATGTGACTTTGAGAAATGCTTCGATACTTCTATATATATTTTTTTCAATAGAGGAAGATATTTTAAAAAACCTAATAGTATCATTGTATTGCCATCCAGTTACTTAGGGTCTTTCCAACAAGCCAAAGTCTTGGTCTCATGGTTTACATCATGTCAACAAAACTATAGAATATGGTCAACATAAGTCAACTTGAAGGCAGACCACAGCTACCAGTTGAACATCCCTGATCCGGAATTCTGAACATCAAAATACTCCAAAATCCTTTTTTTTTTCACTTGGATAGCTGAGAAAATGACACCTTTGCTTTCTTATGGTTCAACATACAGAAACTTTAAGAAATTGCCTTCAAGCTATGTGTAGAAGGTTTATGAAAAACATCAATGAATTTCATGTTGGGTCCCAGGAAATACAGGTATTCCAAAATCCAAACAAAATCCAAAATCCAAAACATTTCTGGCCCCAGGCATTTCAGATAAAGGATAGGCATCCTACATTACTCTTCAAAGCATCAGTTACATCAGGGATAGGCAAACTTGTGGCCCTCTCTCCAGGTGTTTTGGAGAGAGGCCCACAAGTTTAGGACTTCAACTCCCACAATTCCTAACAACTGGTAAGCTGTTAGAAATTGTGGGAGTTGAAGTCCAAGACACCTGGAGAGAGGGCCTGATCATGGAAAGTGTGGCCCATATGGCCCTCAAGGCCATTTCGGAGTTCAATGTGGAGCATTAGTTTGAGTCCTGGACTAGGATTGCAAGGGACTGGAGCCCTGGACTCCCATTGAGTGGCCTTGGGCAAGTCACACTCTCTTAGCCTCAAAGGAAGGCCACAGCACTCCTCTTCTGAACCATGCCAACAAAGCCATAATAGGGTCACCAGAATTCAACTTGAAGGCACAGAACAACAATGCCTGACTGTCTCAAATGTCCCAGAAGATCAAGAGAAGAGCATGGTGAAAAGAAACACAGATACATTTGATCACGAAGAGATGTTGTTGTTTACTTGTTCAGTCGCTTCTTCGTGACCTCATGGACCAGCCCACACAAGAACTCCCTGTCGGCCGTCACTACCCCCAGCTCCTTCAGAGTCAAGCCAGTCACCTCAAGGATATCCATCTTTCCCTCCATCCATCTTTCCCCTGGTCAGCCCCTCTTCCTTTTTTCTTCCTCACAAAGAGATGTGTGTGTTCATTCATTCAGTCGTCTCCGACTCTTCGTGACCTCATGGACCAGCCCACGCCAGAGCTCCCTGTTGGCCGTCACCACCCCCAGCTCCTTCAAGGTCAGTCCAGTCACTTCAAGGATGCCATCCATCCCTCTTGCCCTTGGTCGGCTCCTCTTCCTTTTACCTTCCACTTTCCCCAGCATAATTGTCTTCTCTAGGCTTTGCTGTCTCCTCATGATGTGGCCAAAGTACTTCAACTTTGTCTCTAGTATCCTTCCCTCCAATGAGCAGTCGGGCTTTATTTCCTGGAGGATGGACTGGTTGGATCTTCTCACAGTCCAAGGCACTCTCAGAACTTTCCTCCAACACCACAGTTCAAAAGCATCTATCTTCCTTCGCTCAGCTTTCCCTAAGGTCCAGCTTTCACATCCATAGGTTACTACAGGGAGTACCATGGCTTTGACTAGGCAGATCTTTGTTGCCAGATACTCACATTTTATTTATCCCCAGGATCAGAGGTCTTTTGCCTCTCCAAATCAGGGGGAATGTCCACCTCTAAAGGCAGTAGCAGGGCCAAAGCCACAGGGAGGTAACCAGAGTAAACAAAACTCCCCTTTTCTATGTATATAGATTTCCAAACATTGCAAAAAGTGAGACCGATTTCACAAAAGGATTGAAGGAACAACCACAGGGTCCACTGAGAATATAACACACTTCACATACAAAGTATGTAGCTATCTGAGGAAAACAACCAAGCACAAGACATCTCCAGAAGATCTCACACACCCCACACCCCCCACACCCCCACCCCCGCAATACAATGTTCACACAAACCTGAAAAACCAAAACAAAGAAAGGCATCTCAAAGTGATTCCTACACTGAAGCCACAGCTAGTATTTGGTGCTGCCTGTATTTGGATTGCTGGAATTTCATAAACATGGGGTTGTTCAGAACATTGGAGTGGACAATAGAAAACTTAAGACATTGAAGAAAGAATGAGTTTTATTTTTAAATGGTTACGGATTTTTAAAAATACTTCAGACAGCACTTTCCTGGCTCAATGTAATCAAAGCTGTAGTTTTACACCATCTTTTGCCTTCTCTGCCAAAGAATGCTGGGTCCTCACCAAAATACAAATCCCAAGATTCCATAGCATGGAGCCAGGGCAGCTAAAAAGGCATCAAACTGAATTAATACTACCCTGTAGATCAGTATTTCTCAGCCTTCCTAATGCTGCAGCCCCTTAATACAGTTCCTCATGTCGTAGTGACCAACCATAACATTATTTTCATTGCTACTTCATAACTGGAATTTTGCTACTCTTATAAATCATCATGTAAATAACCAATATGCAGGATGTATTTTCATTCACTGGACCAAATTTGGCACAAATACCCAATACGTCAACATTTGAATACTGGTGGGGTTGGGAGGGGGTTGATTTTGACATTTTGGAGTTGTAGTTGCTGGGATCTATAGTTCACCTACAATCAAAGAGCATTCTGAACTCTACCAACAATGGAATGGAACCAAACTTGGCACACAGAACTCCTATGACCAACAGAAAATACAAGAAGGGTTTGGTGAACATTGACCTTGAGTTTTGGAGTTGTAGTTCGCCTACATCCAGAGAGCACTGTGGACTCAAACAATGATGGATCTTGACCAAACTTGGCACTGATACTCAATATGCCTAAATGTGAACACTGGTGGTATTTGAGGAACATAGACCTTGACATTTGGGAGTTGTAGTTGCTGGAATGTATAGTTCACCTACAATCAAAGAGCATTCTGAACTCCAACAAAGATAGAATTGGGACAAACTTCCCTCACAGAAGCCCCATGATCAACAGAAAATACTGTGTTTTCTGATGGTCTTTGGCAAACCCTCTGACACCCTCCTCACAACCCTCTCAGGGGTCCTGACTCCTCCGGGTTGAGAAACGCTGGTGTAGATACACTCCGAGTCTTGCAACAGTTATGAGCAAAGGTGGCCAAAATAAGTTTCCTTACGCAAAGGCAGTATACTTTTGGGTACCAGATGCTGGGGCTAAATCCCTGACAAATTCTCAATTTTGGGGCACTCCTGGAAACACAGAGCAGAAACTATAGGATATTTTCAAGATCCCAACCTTCTGAAATAGCAGAATGGAATTCCTTTGCAGGAAAGGTGTGAGGAGGAGATGAGAGTCCAGAGATTCAGCAAATGCTGTGTGTGTGTGTTTGAGAGAGGGAAAGCTGGAGAAAGGAGGAGAGAAACAGCCAGTCCTGGCTTTATTTACTCCAACTTGGCATCTTTCCCTCTTTGGAGGAGGACTTGTTGACGGAACCATGTGCTTTTCCTGAGAGGAGGAACATATCCAAATACAGCCAAGGGTGGGAGGAAAAAGCAAAGGATCCTCGAAAATACGGACCCAATGTGTCTGGGCTGAGATTCAGACCTACAAAGAGGTCCTTGGGGAGGAAAAAATCCTTCCCAAATGGAAAGAAAGGAAGTGCGCCTTCAATGGTTCCTTTATCTGGCCAAAGGATGGATGGATAAGGTTGGAGGATGCAGGGAATCTATTGCTGGGCTCCACAGTGGATTCAATGATGTGGAAGGGTCCAAGTCGTGTCCACTGGCCAAGCCATCCATCCCTTCCCTGCCTTTCCATCCTTCCCTGCTTGGAATGCTTACCTGCTCCAAAGGCGACCAAGAGGAACAATCTAAGCGCCGGTGGGGAAGCCATGGAGTCCAGGGAAAGGGGTCTCTGTGGGCTTCTTGGAGGAGAGTCCCTCTCCTCGAAGCCCTTTGGGTCTTTCCAAGCCTTGGAAGCGGGGACCAAAGCGGCAGGCGTGGCGAGGGGCGCACAAAAGCTCTCCACGTGCGCCTTTTCTCTCTCTCCTTCCTTGGCGAAGAAAGACAGCTTTGCCCTGTGTTTGGAGCCAGCTAGGGCCGCTTCATCCTCAAGCCGGGGGTTCGGCGGGTCGTGGAGGGGGCTCAGCGGGTCCTGGGGGGCGAAAACGGGTCCCCACTTGCGCCATTTTGCCGAGGCAAAGGAGAAAGGAGCATCACTCCGGCTCTTGCGCGCTGGCGGCTTTGGCCTCGGCTCTTTGCGCCTCCAAAGGCGAGCGTTGCCCGAGCCCCCTCCCTTTCTGCTTGGCCAGCCCCCCACCCCTTCTCTCCCTCCTCTTCTTCCTCCTCCTCCTCTTCTTCTCTCGGGAGGCCCAAGCAAGGGGCCAGAACAAAAGGCCAGCGCCGGTGGGATGCCCAAAGGAAGCACAGCTTTGGACAAAAGGCAAGCAAACACAAGCGCCAAGGCAAGAGAGGCTCCTTCTCTCCCTCTCTCTCTTCAGCCCTATGGAAGAAGGGTCTCACCCTATCTCAGGAAGGATCTGGCTTTACCCCACCCCTTGGAAAGGATCTCATCCCCACCCAGCCCTTCACAGAGCCAAAGGAAAGAGCCCTCGCCCAAAAGAGAGAGAGAGAGAGGATTCTGTGCGTAAAAGGCGAAAAGAAGCACACCTCTCCTCCCCACGCGCAAAGGAGGAATCCCTTCCCCACCCCACAAGCAACTGAAGCAAAAGATGTTGTGTTCTGGAGAATGGAAAGCACGCCGTCAATATATATAGACACACACACACATACAGCACATGTACTAAAGCAGTGTTTCTCAACCTGGAGGCCGGGACCCCTGAGGGGGTCACGAGGGGGTGTCAGAGGGGTCGCCAAAGACCAAAAGAAAACACAGTATTTTCTGATGGTCATGGGGATTCCATGTGGGAAGTTTGAGCCAATTCTATCGTTGGTGGAGTTCAGAATGTTCTTTGATTGTAATGAACTATAAATCCCAGCAACTACAACTCCCAAATGTCAAGATCTATTTTCCCCAGACTCCACCAGTGTTCACATTTGGGCATATTGAGTATTCGTGCCACGTTTGGTCCAGATCCACCATTGCATGAGTCCACAGTGCTCTCTGGATATAGGTGAACTACAACTCCCAAACTCAAGGTCAATGCCCATCAAACCCTTCCAGTGTTTTCCATTGGTCATGGGAGCCAAGTTTGGTTCAAATCCATTGCTGGTGGAGTTCAGAATGTTCTTTGATTATAAGTGAACTATAAATCCCAGCAACTACAACTCCCAAATTACAAAATCAAATCCACCCCCCACCCCCACCCCACATTTGGGTGTATTGGGTATTTCTGCCCAGTTTGGTTCAGTGAATGAAAATGCATCCGGCATATCAGATATTGACATTATGATTAATAACAGTAGCAAAATGACTGTCATGAAGTAGCAATGAAAACAATGTTATGGTTGGGGGTCACCACAACATGAGGGACTGTATTAAGGGGTCACGGCATTAGGAAGGTTGAGAACCACTGTACTAAAGCAATTTCTCAAGCTGGGGGTTGGGACCCTGGGGGGGGGGGGGTCATCAAAAGCCATCTGAAATGGGCTCTTTGATTAGGTGAACTATAGGTAAAGGTAGTCCCCTGACATTAAGTCCAATCATGTCTGACTCTGGGGTGTGGTGCTCATCTCCATTTCTAAGCTGAAGAGCCAGCGTTGTCCATAGACACCTCCAAGGTCATGTGGCCGGCATGACTGCATGGAGTGCCGTTACCTTCCGGCCGGAGTGCTACCTATTGATCTACTCACATTTGCATGTTTTCGAACTGCTAGGTTGGCAGAAGCTAGGGCTGACAGCGGAAGCTCACGCCGCTCCCCGGAATCGAACCGGCGACCTTTCGATCAACAAGCTCAGCAGCTCAGTGCTTTAACCCACTGCGCCACCGGGGGCTCCATATAAAATATATAAATCCCACCAAATACAACCCCCAAATGTCAAGGTCTATTTTCCCCACATTCCAGAGCAGGGGTCCTCAAACTAAGGTAGGGGGGGGGGGTGGCGGATATGGCCCTCCAAAGTCATTGACCCGGCCCTTGCTCAGGCTCAACCTAAGTCTGAAATGACTTGAAAGCACCCAAAAACAACAATCCTATCTCAACAGCCAAAAGGCCCACACTTTCCACTGAAACACTAATAAGTTTATATTTGTTAAAAATTCTTCTTCATTTTAATTATTGTGTTGTTTTAAAGTGTTTCTGCACTACGAATAAGATATGTGCAGTGTGCATAAGAATTTATTCATGTTTTTTAAAAATTATAATCCAGCCCTCCAACAGTTTGAGGTACTGTGACTGGCCCTCTGTTTAAAAGGTTTGAGGACCCCTGTTCCAGAGCTTCAGAGAGCTTCTGTTCAACCGTTTCAAAGCTCCTTGCTTGGGTGGTGATAGCATGATTGTCAGCGTAGATGAAACTCTCTGTCCCTTCTGGCAGTGGCTGGTCATTTGTGTAAATGTTAAACATTCATGGAGCAATCCTATGTGTAAAAGGTGAAAGGAAACACATATCTCCCCACATGCAAAGGAGTGACTCCTCCAACCCCCACCCCCACCCCCAAAGCAAACTGAAGCAAAGGAGATTGTTTTCTGGGGAATGGAAAGCATGCCTTCAAAGAGATACACACACACAACACTTCAAAGCTTTAGGGAGCAGGCTTGTTTTCTGGTTCCTAGAACTGGAGCAATGTATTCAAATGATGGGAAATGAGATTCCACCTCAACATTAGGAAGAACTTCCTGACCATAAGAAGAACTGTTCAGCAGTGGAACTCTCTACCTCGGAGTATGGTGGAAGCTCCTCCCTTGAAAACTTTGAAACAGAGGCTGGGTGGCCATCTGTCGGGTGTGCTTTGATTGTGCTTTTTCTGCCTAGCAGAAGAGGGTTTGACTAGGTGGCCCATGTGGCCTTTTCCAACTCTATTATTCTATGATTCTAAGATCTGTTTTGTGTTATCATTGGAATTTCAGTAGAAAGACTCCTTCCTCTCACCTGAAGCAGAGGGTTGCTGTGCACCTCTTGTGCACCAAGTGCAATCTCAAGGCCACTAAGGGTGTGTCTACACTGAATGAATGCAGTTTGACACCACTTGAACTACCCTGACTCCATGCTATGAAATCCTGGAGTTGTAGTTTGGAGAGGCATCAGCACTCTTTGGCAAAGTAGGCTAAAGACTTTATCAAACTCCACAATTCCATAGCATTGAGTCACTGCAATTAAAGTGGTGCCAAGCTCCGTTCAGTCTAGAGCAGTGGTCCTCAACCTTCCTTATGCCGCGATCCCTTAATATAGGGATTGTTGTGGTGATCACATCATGTTGTGGTGAACCCCAACCAAAATATTATTTTCATTGCTACTTCATAACTGTAACTGTTACGAATCGTAATGCAAATTTCTGATATGCAGGATGTATTTTCATTCACTGGACCAAATTTGGCACAAATACCCAATATGTCCACATTTGAATACTGGTGGGGTTTGGGAGGGATTTATTTTGTCATTTGGGAGTTGTAGTTGCTGGGATTTATAGTTCACCTACAATCAAAGAGTATTTTGAACTCCACCAATGATGGAATTGAATCAAACTTGGCACACAGAACTCCCACGACCAAAAGAAAATACTGGAAGGGTTTGGTGGGCATTGACCTTGAGTTTTGAAGTTGTAGTTCGCCTACATCCAGAGAGCACTGTGGACTCAAACAATGATGGATCTGGACCAAACTTGGCACCAATACTCAATATGTCCAAATGTGAACACTGGCAGAGTTTGGGGGAAATAGACCTTGACATTTGGGAGTTTTAGTTGCTGGGATTTATAGTTCACTTACAATCAAAGAGCATTCCAAACCCCACCAACAATAGAATTGGGCCAAACATCCCACACAGAACCCTCATGACCAACATTTATTTATTTATTGTGTCAGGAGCAAACCAAACAGTTGTATTGCATTTTTTAACTAACAAACAAACAAAACACAAAGTTTGCAAGCTTGGTAGTTGATTACATGTCCTTTGACCAGCACCTGGCCACTTGGAGTGCCTCTGGTGTTGCCACAAGGAGGTCCTCCATTGTGCATGTAGCAGGGCTCAGGCTGCATTGCAGTAGGTGATTAGTGGTTTGCTCTTTTCCACACTCGCATGTCGTGGATTCCACTTTGTACCCCATTTCTTAAGGTTGGCTCTGCATCTCGTGGTGCTTTCCAAGTCACCCAGTTTTCTGTGTGCCCAGGAGGGAGTCTCTCATTTGGTATCAGCCATTGGTTGAGGTTCTGGGCTTGAGCCTGCCACTTTTGGACTCTCGCTTGCTGAGGTGTTCCAGTGAGTGTGTTTTCCCATGGTCTTTGGCGACCCCTCTGATACCCCCTCATGACCCTCCCATGGGTTCCGACCACCAGGTTGAGAAACACTGATCTACAGTGTAGATACACACTCCAGTTTCTTCTTATTGGTTTCCAATTCAGGCCTTCTGCCCTTGTCAGACCCATTCATTTTCACCATTACAATTCTCTTACAACACCACATTACAAATGAGTTGATTCCCTTTCCATAGTTTCTGGTCACTGCCCAATATAGACATTGGGAATTTCCACTATTTGTTGTCAGAACTTCTGATCTGAAACAAACTTTGAGAATCCCATAGAAGATGCCACATGTAGACACAAATTTGGAGTCCTAAAACAGCCCAGATTCAGTTCAAAGGGCACACGTTCCATTCCTGCTCCCTTTAAATAAAAAAAAAATCATACATCTCTAGCTGAACTAGATTATATTACACAAACACTGAAATTGTATTCGACCCTTTGCCAGTGAGAACTGAGTTGGACAGTTCATTTCGTGGCACGGCTACCGAATTCCGCCACCGTCACTAACAGATTAGGCCCAAGCTTGTAATAACAATTCCAGCTGCATCAGTCACAACTGTGCTTTCTGGGATAATGAGAGCAGGAGGGAAGCCGGGGAATGTGGGAAACAAGGCATTCTAGTTCGAAAGTATTTGCAACAACGTGTTTATGGATATTTTCCCCCCTCAGTGTCAAGGTTGCGTGAAACCTTGACTTTAGAATATTGGCAAAATGTAAACATTATGTCTATTTTAGATCAACAGAAACACATTGGCTTCATTTCTGTTTATTAGCTGTTAGATCAATGGCTGAATGCAAATCAACACAAACGTACGTTCTGTTAATTCAGTCTGACTACTCCAGTTGACAGTAATGATAAGGATTCAGGATTAAAAGTTT